TTAATCCAGTGGCATAGTTATATAATTATTTAGGAAAATTTTGATGTATTTTCTATTTGTACTTCTATTTTATTAGTTTAGATGTATCTCATTGAAGATTAAAGTTACTAGAGACATTATTTGTATGAATTTTGTCCGGGTGAATTTATTTGAATCTATTAGATGTTTTATACTACATATGAATCTTTTGAATATTATAATTTATCTGACGTTTTTCCTTGAATTAAAAATAGCAAAATTGAGTTTTTACACTTTATTATTTAAAAAGTTAATCATAATAATATGTTTACTATCTTATCAAACTGCAAGCTTGGATATGAGTAAAGTTAATTACACATTTGTAATCACTAATTTTATTAATTCAATTTTTGATATCGGATCCATATTTTAACAAATCCAGAATGTTACAAGAATTTAGTTATATATGAATTTGTTTAAAATCCAAAATTCTACAGTTAAAATTCGAGATTAGACTTTGACGAAATTAGACTGATAAAGTATCTTGAGTCAAATCACATATTCCAGATTATAGACTCATACCTAGTAATGATGTCTAGTCGACAGATAAAAACATCAGTAAGGCAAAAGCAGCTCCCTTATAATATATGTTTGATTTTGAAATTTGCTATAAAGATTCACTCGCAATCAATAATTCAAATATCTCAGCAAGCTATGGGTTTTGTCATAACCAACCAAAATAGACCAATAAAACAATTAAAAATATCGACCTATTTTATACGATATAGTTTGTATACTCACCTACGACATAATGTTGAATAATACGGAGATATCAGATGCCTCTGTTTGGACTATGCTTATTGGAATATTTCCGATACGAATACGATTGGCGTGTTATTACCTTCGAATATGCTCTTGTAGATGCATGTGAAACCTAGGATGCGTAATCTAGTTTCTGAATTAAATTCGTACTAGGATTTTGATCTAAGCATCCGCATGGGTATTGAATTTTATTTTATTTTAATCTAAAATTTCTTATATGTGATTGACGTATATTATTTTACATTGTTATACTCCCTCCATTTTTTCTATTTGCCTTTTAGATGAATTTTTTGTTTTATATTATTTGACATTTTCAATTTTTTATTGTAAAATTTATTAAAAATTAATGTTAGATGACCACTGATATTATAGTTTTTATTTTATTATTCGTTGAATTGTGTTTTGGTAAACAATTAATGATGTTTTTGTTTAAAAAAAAAATTTCTTTAATCTATATGCATAATTTTAAAACGGAGGGAGTATATGATTTTGTGTCTTGTCAAAAACTTTATGTTTTTTCAATGTATATTTGGTTGAATATTTTTTCATTTTATAAATAATTTTTCTTTTATAAAAATTCATTATTTATATGTGGATTATACAGTTTTAGCTACTACTAATAAAGCATTAGTTATTAGGTGCTAGCTTTATGATAGAAATTTCTACATTTATTCTATATACTAGGTGATTTTCCCGTGGTCATGCACGGGTATAAATATTTATTAAGTAAATATACTATAATAAATGTTTACTATTTACTTTTAATTTTCAATTAATTTATAATTTGCATACATGATTATTAATAATATTATTTTACTTTATTTAGACATATTATTTTAGAAATATTATATCTAGTCAATTTTATTATTTTATAGTCGATTTTACTGTTGTTATTTGGGTATATTAGATAACATTCTTTTATCTGAATTCAACTATAATATTTTTTATTCTAAATATATTAAATTTTGATTAATTTTATTATTTACTTTTAGGTTGTTTGCTGTCTCAAATGTCAATATATTTTAGTAAAGTTATTTATAACTTAAGATATATTATGCCTATAATGAAATATAAAATAATTTTGATTTCAAATTACATCAATCGATATAAAGATAATCTTTGAAGTCTCATGCATATATATAAATTTCACAAAATAAATCAAATTAAATTAATATTATTTATCATTTAAATGTGCACGTATTTTCATAATATTTATCAAGTTATATGTTTCTTTAAAATATAGTAGAAAATAAAGCAATAATCAGTAGGAGTTACATACTTAAGTAACTCATATATTTTTGGAGATTCATGAACACATATCAATATTTACAATAACTAAAATATTTTATAAATTCTAAATAATTTTATATCTTAGATTTATTGAATGATAAACTGAAATTATTTTAAATAATCTTAAAAATGAGAACTCGGATTTGCTTTGGTATTTTTACTATGGTTATATTAAGTTATACAAACATAAAATTGAAAAAAAAAATTAAAATTAAGAAACAGATAATTTAAATAATGATAGAATATAACATATCTATGTCATTAAAGTATATAGTGGTATGATATTTTAAAATATTTTGTAATTATTTGATTAAAAGATGTTTATTGTTAAAAAAATATTTTAATTTCTCTTAAAATAAGCAGTAAAAATTGTGGTTGTATTTGAGAAATCATATTATATAAGTAAAATTTAAATATAAAAATTTATATGAAAACATCTTTTAATCAAATAATTACAAAATATTTTAAGTAAAATTAGTTGTGGTTTTTTTTCTTTAGTTGAAAGATACTATAGTCAACTACATATATGAAAATAAATAAAATATTAAATAATTTTAATTAAAAACTATTTTAGTTAACAAAAACATATACTTGTTTATGTTACTTAAAATTATGTTTAAAAGTAAATTTTTTTTTTCAAATATCAAAATTATATGTGTGAATTTTTTTGTTATGAAATCACATTATATAAAAATATATATTTTCATATAAGAAAATACAGATATAAAGAAAGTATTTTATTAATTAAAAAGTACATTTTATGTTATTTAAAATATTTTTAATGGATGTTACTATTTTGTTAATTTTCCCTTTTAATGAAATCATATTATATAAACATATATTTTCGTTTTTCATTTTTCCTTTTATAATTTATAGATTTTTTTTTCTATTATAAATTTTAGTTGGAAATTTTTAAAAAGGAAACTAAATACAAAATTAATAATACTATTTTGCTATTTTGATAGTATATTACTATTTTGTGAACTTTCCTTTTTAATGAAATCATATTATATAAACATATATTTTCGTTTTTAATTTAATATTTTTTTCATTTTTTATTATAAAAGTTATTTGGAATGTTTTAAAAAGGAAACTAAACATAAAATTAATAATATTATTTAAATATACTATTTAAATATATTCATCAAGGGTATCATAGTAATCAACCAGTGTAAGAGTCAACGTGAGCGCGCCACATAGGAAACTGACTTCTCAAATAATATTATAGAGATTTCTTTTTTTTTTTTATCAAACCATTAATTCATTCATAGGGAAATAGACTAAAACAGAGTTATCCCACTCTAGGGGAATGCTGCAGCTCATACAATGCTGATTTAGCTAGGGAATCAGCCACCACATTCCCAAGCCGGGGAACAGAGTTAAAAATAACAGAAGCAAAAGAACCTGCTAACAAAGCAATGTCATGGAGAATGCAAAAGACAGAAGTATCATATTCCTTCCTTTTGATAAGAGAAATGAGATTCTTGCAGTCAGAAAACACTGAAACGTGCTGAATACCGAGAGAAGTTGCCGTTAAAAGGGCAGCTTTTACCGCCAAAACCTCTGCTATTAGAGCTGAAGTTACAAAGCGATGGTTAGAAGAGTAGGAGAAAGACTTGGTAAGTTGCGCATCCTGGAGGTGCCACCCCAAATTATTTCTTGCAATTTGTTATGTTTTGAGATATATGAGATAAACATGTTATTTATTTTATTAATTGAATTATAAATAAATGTAGAAGCGGTATAATTAGGAAAAAACAAATAAATCAAATGTGCCCAAATTATAGATAATAATATTCCAAGTTCACAATTGATAGCAAAATAGTTTCTTTTTTCGGGGTAAAAAAGAAAACTATTTTTTTAGTTTGATTATCATTTTTGTGTCGGTGAGATAAACTAATGGTCTTTCGTATTTTGTATTCATCTCCTTTGAAAAGAGTTATAACCTATACATTCGTACGTATATAAATCTATGTGTATCTTCTTCTTCAAGCCTAGCTGCCAACCAAATCGTGTGAGATTAAGCCATCATCTTGCACCAGCTTCCTCCCTTCTCTCATGTTTCCTTTCTTATTCTCCTCTACCTGCGTTGTTTTGATCCCGCCACTGGGTTTTGAATGGCTTCATATCCTTAAGAAGAGTAATATTTTTTTTGGCTATTTTTAACGTTATTTGTGAAAATGATTGTGGATTGAGGCTACAGGAAGAGATGTGTATATATACAAGTAGATGACGTGATGATATGTATTATGGTACTTTTTTTTTTGAAAAGGGCGTATTAAGGTAGACATTGCGAGATTTTAGCCCCATAAAATGAAATATTCCTTTATAAAAATACTAGATAATGATTTATTGATGTAATTTACTGTTTTCCATAATAGATATTTAGGGATTTTACGGCCCTTAATCAAATAGTATCTACAGAAGATTTTAACGATTAAGGAATTGAAACAATGGTGAATAACACAAAATATATTGTCTTTTGATGCTGATTGCTTAAATATAGGAAAGATTTTTAAAATTTTATTGATTTAAATTATTATTTTAGATTTGGTGAACCAAATAAATTTTAAATTTTGTATATTATAAATCAAATATTTTTCATCACAATTGGTTTGTAATATTAGGAAGAACAACTAATCACGTTAGAAGTGGTTTGCAATGTAACAATAAGTTGCTGGTTTAGTAATATTGTTAATTGTCCCTTAAAAAAGTAGTGGCAATAGATTATAATTACTAAGGAAAATTCAGGATCAAAATTTATTTGTACTCCTGTTTTAATAGATTAGATGGTCGGAAAAAAAATATTCTAGACATGTAGAAGCTATTAATATATAAATGTTTAATTATTTTACACGCATATTTGTAAACGTAAATACAAAATTTAAAAATAAATTTAAAATTCTATACCAAAATTGTTTTCAGCGATTTTATATATCATCGTTGAAACTTTAACAATACAAAAGTATATTGTAAGCATCTTATAAGTTAGTAAATTTATGTATTTTTATTTGAATATTTGGTTTTCGTATATATATGTATATAATCAAAATATTATTAATGTAAGCTTCTGAATGATACGGGAACAACAAGAAAGTTAACATTCCTTCTTCATTTTCTTGCTAGGAATGTGAATACATTAGTGAAATATGTATAAGTGAATATCATTATCTGCCTTATTCATTTAAAACCATAATAGATTTTTTTTTTTAAAATCAAATTCAAAGGAGTGCAACACAAGGATTTTTTGAGACGTCACCCATCCTAGCATTACTCAAAACCATAATAGCAAATATTCAGTTCTAAGCAACAAAGTAGGACTACACTGTTTCGTTATATAACAACATAACAAAAGACAGACTTCACTTAATATTAAACCTAAAGAGTTCAGTAAAGATCCAAATGTATGGTTTTGCTCTGGAACGTCGCCATTACCACCACGATTTATATTTCCCACCCTTCCTCCAACTCCAAGAAAATCCAACGTTAACTTGTCCGAGCCGCTGCAACGACTATAGCTCTTAGTGTTACTCGGGATCGGCGTCATCAGTCATATATCGCTCGGAATGCTCCTTCGTGGCTACATCATCTGCTCGTCTTGGAGGCTCAGTAAGGAAGGGTGTGGGTAAATAGTTTATTTCCTTCTCCTTTCTTTCGTTTTGTCTTTTGATGGTGTCTACTGACATCTCAATTTCCTGTTATTAGTTTGTCTTTTTTGTTTTCCCTCGTACTTTGTTTTGATCTCAGTGTTATAAAAAAAAAAAAAAACTTGTCCGAGCCGCTCATATTTCCATTATATCCAAAATTAATTTCAAAGATATTGCCGCCGGATCCGCCGGCACCGCCGTCATTTACGGCCACAAATGAGTTCGTTAGACCTTGAAGGTTACTGTTATTATTGTTCCCCATGAACAGCCTTCCTCCAAAGTCATTAACAACCACGCTTGACGAATTAGACGAAGAAGCTAAGCCTCTGAAGAACGCCGAAGAGTCGTTGCTTGCAACTGAGCCCATTTGAGTAGCTTTCTGAAGCAACGCCGTGGCTGACACATTAGAAGAGCGCGTGTGAACGTCGGTGCTATATAGAGAAGAAAGACTCGTCTCTGGTTTCTTGGTGTTTTCTTGAAAGAATCCGAGGTTGAAGAAGCTGTTGTTGGTGCTACTCTTTAGGTTAATGTTGTTGACTGGATCAAACTGGATCATACCTTGTTCGTTCATGAAACTCTGTTTGTTGTTATTGTTCGTTACATTCATCATTCCTTGGCTCGATGAGCACTGGATCAAGAAGTTAGGGTTTGACGCTTGCTGCGCAAAGTCTCTGCTATTTTCAGAAATGCGATGTTTAGATTGTAACCTGGCATAAGCGAAAATTCGTAGTTAGGAAGGTCAATCAAATGGTGGTGAGAGAAAGCATTGCCACCGTCGAGTCTCCCGTAAAATCCACCGGAGCCAGCGACGCTAATGGCACCTGCCATAGACGTGAAGCTCACGGTAGGGTTTCTAGCAGTGTCTTGTATCAATGCATCACAGAAAGCCCTGTGTGTAATGTAACTATCGCGTCTGCAAAATCAGTAAAGTCCCAGATTTTAAAAACAAAAATTAGCAGGAGAACGGTGAATGTAAAACTATTGCATTATATGTGTACTTTAGTTATTATGGCTGCCATTTATAGGAGAGAATGATATATAGAAGAATATAGAAGTCGAGTCAATTGCTAATTTAGTGAAACACCTACTTCATTTAATGAAAAACCCATGTAAATGTAAGTCGGTCACATTCTACATCAAAGTATTTATGTCAAACCATGAAAATAAGGAAAGAAGCCCTAGAGAGAGAAAGAGATGAAAGGGGTCCACAAAATAAGAGGAGTTTCATTAAAAAGGGGAACCTGCAAAGTCAAGAAGAAGAAGAAAACAAAAGTGGAAAATAGAAAAACAAATCCAACTCATACATGTGACCAAATTTAGCATCTTTTTAATTTTCTCAGTTTCTCTTCACTGTCTTTCTCTATTCACCACTCACCCAGAGGCGGCCCTTGGGGCAAGCCCATCAAGCACTTGTTTGCGGCCGCCAAATATAGATAAAATTTCCGGTCACAAAATTCTAAGGGTACATGGTAGTGTAGTGGCTTAACGTAAGGGTTTATTGCGGCTGCTCCTGGGTTTAATCCCACATGACGCAAAAAAAAAATTTCCCGAATTTACAATAAAAATAATGCTAAATTAACTTAAAAAAAAGGAAAATATGGTTGACCTAAAATTTTCCGTCTTCTTTTTTTTGCCATTGTCCCAAGCTCAAGTCTAAACATCTCTTCAATTGATATCATCATTCTAATTCATATTACTTGAATCCCTTACTTATTCTTTTCTATTTCTGTAACTAGAAACCAATTGTCTTCTCTTCTTCTTGATCAAGTGGTACTTCTATTATTCTGTATCATAGTTGGTTATTTTCATATTTTAAACATATTTTATCTTCTCGTGATAGTCTATATGTGTTTGTTCATAGTAACTAATATTCTTTTAATCATTGCAGAAAGATGGGTCCTAAAAGAATTAGAAAAGAGATGGGAGGTGCTGAAAAAGAAAGAAAAAAGAAAAAAGAAGAAGCTTTCATAAAATCTCAAGCTAATTCAATGTTAAGGTATGTTAAAAAAACTGAAGCTCCTAAATATGATGAGGTTGTCGAAGATGAGACTATAGAAGATATGGAGGATGATGATATTGATGAGGATGAACAAAACTTGGATGTGGATCAGAATATGAATAATAATGGGAGCGAAGCTGGTAGTGAGAGCAAAAAAGAGACTGAAAATAAGGACGAAGAGAAAAAAATGGATGGTGTTAAAGAATACCAAATAAGTGGAGATGTCGATGATCCTGGAAACTGGAAAAAAATTGATAATAGAATCAGAGATTTTCTTATCCAGAAAGGTCCAACTACGTGGTTGCCGATTGATTACCATTTTCCAAGAGATTATGTTGGTAGATGTTTTTCTCATTCGTCTTATACAAGAGAAATAAGAAATGGAGAGAAGCAAGATAGACACTGGTTAGTTTACTCCAAAGTAAAAGATAAGGTCTTCTGTTTTTGCTGTAGACTATTTACCCAAGACAGAAACTCTAACCAGATTGCAACCAGTGGATACAATGACTGGAGAAATATTTCAAAAATGCTAAAGGAGCATGAAAAAAGTCAAAAGCATATCGTATGTATGACTCAGTGGATAGAGCTAGAAGTGAGGCTAAAGACGACTCAGACCATTGACAAACATATTCAAGAAGAGGTTAACAAAGAGAAACAATACTGGAGAGATGTATTGTTGAGGATAATTCCATTGGTGAAAGGCCTTGCTAAACAGAATATGGCATTTCATGGAAAGAGGGACAAGATCCGTGTGGCTAGTAATGGAAATTTTTTGGGCATGATTGAAGTATTTGCAGAGATTGTGAATGGCATTACAGTTAAGCCATTATCACAAACTCGTTGGGAGAGTCGCATCAACAGCATCAAAGCAATACGGTTTCAAGCTCCTAAGATACGAGAAGCATTGTTTTACTTGGCAGAAAACAATAAGAATCCGGGAACAAAAAGTGATGCTGAGTCTCTTGCCATGAGTGAAACCCATGGAATAAGGAGTTTTGAGTTTCTGTTTGGAATGGTTATTTGGTATGAGCTTTTGTTTGTTGTTAACAAAGTAAGCAAGATCCTGCAATCAGCAGATATGAATATTGATATTGCTATTGCTCAACTGAAAGGACTTATTTCTTTTTTTAAGGACTATAGAGAAACAGGCTTTCAAGCAGCCAAGGTGGAAGCTGAAAAAATTGCAAGAGAAATGGAAACTGATCATGTGTTCTCTAGAAAAGCAAAACGTCCTACTAGAAAAAAATATTTTCATGATGAAGAGCCAGATAAAGTTGGAGAAGATGTGATATTAACACCAGAAGAAGACTTTAGGATCAACTACTTCATAAAAATTGTGGATCAAGGTTTGGTTTCTCTTGAGACAAGGTTTGATCAGCTTCAAGGTTATGAAAAGACTTTTGGATTCTTATTCGACTTTAAAAAACTGAAGCTAGCAGAAGATGACAAGCTAATGATTTCTTGTACTAACCTTGAACCTTTTCTGAAACATGGTAATTATTCTGATATTGATGGTAATGATTTTTTTTTTGGAACTGAAGCTTTTGACAGGGAGTTTACCTGAAGGTATTAAGAAGGTTGCTGAAATATTGGAGTTTTTAAAAAAAAGGGAAAGTTGTTATCCAAATACATGGACAAGATATCGTATAATGATGACAATTCCTGTTTCCGTTGCCTCAGTAGAAAGAAGTTTTTCAAAGTTGAAGCTCATAAAGTCTTATCTACGGTCGAGTATGTCACAAGAGAGACTTAATGGATTGTCAATGTTGTCGATCGAAAGGGATATGGCTGAGAAGATTGATTATACAACTTTGATGAATGAGTTTGCGAGAAGAAATGCAAGAAGAATCATATTTCAACAGTGATGTCACTACAAAAAAAGAGGTGAATTGTATCACTTAATTTACATCACAAAATTAAGTGATTCTATTTAAAATCACTTATTTGCAAATGAAACAAATATATATAATTTATCATCATTTATATGAAATGATGTGTTATTATATTATTTGGCATCAATTCAATAAAATGACATGTTTTTGTTATAAGTTGTATCACTTCAACAGAAAATGATATAAAGTTATATCAATTATATAAATGATGTATTCATTTTACTGTTAGCATCACTTAGTAAAATGATGCAAAATAAAACTGATGCTAAAATTTTTTATTTATATAAAAAATAATTATGTTGATTAACTTCAGTTATAAAAACCGATGTAACCATCACAAAACTAAATAAAACAACCCACTAAAACAAATCAGTTAACAAATAATTTAAACTTCATAATCCGATCCAAAGATTACGTGAAGCAGTTACCATATATTCTTTGGCTTTAATTTGTTTTTCTTTAATTTAATCATTTTTTATTCTGTAACTGTTTACTTCAACCAAAATCTTCTTCTTTATCGTAATCTTCATTTATGTGTTCTTCCACTTCCTTCATTATTAAAGCCAAAACTAAAACTAACTATGATGACCTACATTTTTCTTCTTTTACTTTCTGGATCTTAAATTTTATTCATCTTGATCAAGGATTCATGGCATCCACCCGTGAACCTTATATCTTTCTTGCCAATTTAAACAGGTAAGTTCTCAGCTTTTCTTTAAATTTAGATTTCATAATTGTATTTCTATTAGGCTATGATAAACAAACACTAAGTCTGATTTTATTCATTTCAGTTAACAAGTGATCATAAAAGGTATTGATGGTGACAACTTATTCTCAAATCTTGGTGTGTTTCGTTTATTTGAATGGAGCACGATTTTAAAGTAATTAATTTGTCTTTGTTATTTGCAGAATATGAATGATGGCACAAAAAAAAGAAGATTCACATTGTAAAGACCTTGTTATATATATAGTGGTTCAAGGAGGAGATGAACAAGATATTTAACGTTCAAGAGTTTTGAGACAATCATAGATGAAGTTACAATGGTGGCTGACGACTACGTAATTTTGCAACAATTTTGATTCTGATGATTCTAATAGATATTTAAACATTGGAAACCATGCTAGTAATGTATTTTTTTTAATTTTGTATTTATTTTAACATTTGTAAATATAATAAAACATTTACTGATATTTATCCGTTTAATATATTGAAATTCTTATTTTAATAATGTGAATAAAAATAATACATATTAGGATCACCTATAAAAACTGATATAAACGTGACATCAGTTATACAAATGATATTGATATTTTTATCTGTAATTGTAAATAATAAAATAATTAAATCACTTTTTTGTAAATGATACCACTGTTAACATCATTTCCATCAAGTGATATTAATTTTAAATCAGGTATAGTAAATGATTTAAATATTACAATCAATTTATTAAATTGACACTAATACACACATCATTTAGAACAAATGATGTAAATGGTAACATCATTTTTAGCAATTGACACATACTAACATCACTTAAAATAATTGATGAAAATATTTACTATTTATTACATCAATTTAGAACAAAATGATACAAATTATTTGCATCATCAAAAACTAAGTCATTTACTTAAGTGATGTAAAATATTTTTACATCATTTATAACTAATACAAATATATAAAATAAATGATTTAAACTAGTCTTTTTTTGTAGTGTGTATTGATCTTTTATGTTTTAGACCGGTTTTGTTTAACACTTATTTTTTTTAATCCAAAACGATTAGTAGGAAAATTTATGAACCAGCTTTTTTTTTCTTCGCTTCTAGCCACCAAAAAGTCAGGACCGGGCTCTGCACTCACCAACAACCAAACAAATACAGTGATTGATCCTATGTGCATAGTCCCCATATACATTTTATGGGCGGTGTACTCGAGGTTGAGATCCGTGGCCAAATATATAAGAATTTCAGTTACAAATCATACTGTATATTTGATATTTTCAAGTAAATTAGTAATGGAGAACATTTTATTTAAAAAATTCAATACAGTACAAAATAATTGATGGTCCATTGTTATACTTTTTTTTTTTTTTTTGAACAACCCATTGTTATACTTTACCTAGATAGAGCCTCTATACTATATACTACACAACACACACACACATATATATATATATATATATACGTTTGATCTCTTAGCTAGCCCAGATACCAACAAATTATTTATATGAAACGGATAGAGATTAGTTACCTAGAAAATATGGTACCACAGTCACATCGATACTCTTTAGTACCACAAGTCTTAGAGTGAGCTTTCCAATCCGATTGAACAGCGTACCGCTTAGAACATTTCTCGCATTTCCACTTCTTTTCACCGTGTTTGCGGTAGTAGTGCTTCTTAATTCCTGTGAGATCTCCGAGAGCACGTGCGGGATCATGGTGGACGCACGTGGGTTCCGGACAAAGATACACTTTCCTCCTCACTTCTTTGGTTGATTTCTGTTTGAGCTTCCATGGGAGATTGTGCCCTCTTCGGTGAAGCTGTAGATTTTGTTCTCTTTGAAACCCGTTCTTGCATACATCGCAGATGAACCTGTTTGTAGCCATTAGTGTCTTTGGAGATAACGCTACCACTTCCGCATCAGGAACTGTTTGATCAATTAAATTTAGCCAGCAGTAGGATTCTGAATGTTTATCTATGAGGATTAGTTAAGAAAAAGGATACAAACATTATTTTGAAAGAAAACTAAATATCACATCTGTATAATATAATTACCAGTCGAAAATAATGAAATCTTGATACGAGTTTACCAAAAAAATAAAAATAGTTAGGGTTCATATTTATTCTTTTTAACTTCTATATCCTATAAGGTTGTTTTTTACTCTCAAAGCTGCTACTGATGATATAGAATTTATATTTTATATATGTGCAAGAGGTACTTGGGTTTCCGGGTTGGTTTCTTCGTTTCTTGGGCGGTGGAGCTGAGGAGTTAGGTTCTTGTATCATTGATATAAACGTATCTTTCCGGTCAAATTCGTTATCTCCGAGGCCTGAGTCAGTGAGGAAGAACGGCTGAGCAGAGGATGATGATGGAGCAACGCTTGCGTTATATGATGATGACGACATCTTAGATCTTCTTCTTTGCGTCGAAGTTAATAAACTGCAAGAGAACAATCCATATAAAGAAAGTTAAAAAGAATTGCGAAAAATCAAATTATCGTTACTGAAGAAAACTAAGGGAGGAATGAAAATCAGGAAGAATCCACAGAGATTGACGTCATGGAGAATTTTTATTAAAACAATTCACTAAAAGACATGAAGAGAAAGATAACAAATTAAGCCTTTTTATAAGCTTTTGAATGAATTAAGAAGAAAGGTTTCTAAGTTGTTATTTTTTGGTACCTGAGATCAAGATAAAGCAACCAAGAAGAAGAAGGAATAATAGTTAAAAAGCTATAAATCGGAGGTAAAGAAAGAACCAAGAAGAAGATGATGCATGATGATAATGATGATGATGATGATATGAGAAGACGACACACTATTATGTTTGTGTGTGTATTATAATACAAAGAAAAACCTCAAAGCCCTCTCTTTCTCTCTCCTGTTTTGTGTTCTTCTTCTTTTTCTGTTCTTTTTTAATAAGGCATATATGACCTTGAAAAGTTTATGTAGCTAAGCTACATCTCTGTAAAATTTCATAAAAAAAGATCCATCTCTGTCATACTCTATTACAATAAAAAACTTGTTTAAAATTTTATTTTACAATTAAGAAGGACGGTTAAGGTTTGGTTGTCACTGTTAAAACGGTGAAATGTGTCCACATTCTGGGTGTGATGTGGGGACTGCATACAGCTTATTCTAGTTCGTATCTTTCTGGTGGGCTTTAAGACAAAACCCTCGTTTTCTCTTCATTTAACTGATTAGGTTTCGGTGTACTAACTTTTTTTCCTTATCTAAAATGTTAATAATTTAATACACATATTATATATATATATATATATATATATATTTCTACACCCCATCACCATCATATAGACAATTGAAAAGAATGTTAGATTCTTGTGTGAAAATCAATGTATGACTTTGTCTTTGTTAAATAGAGATTAAATAAAAATGACATCATTTATATAACCTCAAGAAAATCCAATTTTGAAAGCTAGAAAGCCTAACAATTGGCTTAACAATTTAACTTTATCTTAAACTAGTAATCTCAATTATCTCATACCCACCCATTGAACTTAAACATCCCAAAGTTGGCATATTCCTATAATTGTACTGCCGTTGTGTCGTCGAGATAACACAGAGAGAAACTCGATTCCAAAAGCACCTGTCAAATTTGATCTTGATTTCTTGAATACTTGAAGAGTTGTAAATGCAATTAGTGGCTAGTTATTATTTGAAAGATTTGTCAAAATGGCATTATACCTTCCACACACATCTTTATCCTAATAGTATCTATATATAATAGCAAACCTAAATTGCTGACATCATTTTTTTATAGGAAAAAAAAACTAAAATCCTATGGCTCAAATTGTTTGGTTGTTAGAGAACTAACGGACATAAAGTTCCTCACTCTAAATGGCTTACGTCATCAAAACTGTCGTATTTAAAAAAGAAAAAACGCACCGTTTTGCTCTAGGGCGACTTCCTGTGCGATTCCTCTTTTCCCCTCCCCCTCTCTCAACGGCGTTGGCCCTGGCCTCCGGCGCCGCCTTGTAAGCCATGGCCAAGAAAAAACGAACCCAGTTTAAGCCCCTCATTCTCACTCCACCCAATCCACCCCAAGCCTCCCCCAAACCTGCCGCCCCCCTCCCCTCCTCCAAACCCATTGCCCCCTCTACCTCCTTTGCCCC